GCACAGCGGATGACAGCACGGTGGCAGAAACGGAGGGCAGCTAGAGAAACAAAGCAACAAGGCAAACCTTACCAGTGGTAACACATCGATGAAAGTTGATGCATGGGAGATGACTGGTGATGAGCTCCGAACAGGGTGGCTTTGGGAAGATGACGACAACAGCGTTCTGGCAGCTTGCAACGAGAACAATTGGGAGTCCTAGGTGCTCCTTCTCCTTGTGAACCCGATGGTGGTCGCGGTGACCTCTGGCGATGAAGCAATCGGTGACGCGGCTTGGCTGGAGAAGGAGGACGGCGCCACGGTGGCAGTACTCTGGTTCACAGTAATGAAGGCCCTTCGGTGATGTGCGGTTTGGAGGATGTGGCTGCCGGGGTTCGCCTTACTGCTGCAGTGCCGAGGGAGGTAGCGGTAGCGGCGCTGACTGACGACAATGACGAGGTCAGTGGCAACAGCCGGCTGGAGTGATTCCCATCCCTCCTGTCGCTGTCACATGGGCCCAACACCAACAGTGCCATCGTCTTCCTCCGGATTGGAGACCGGCGCCTGTTCATCATTGCCAATGTCAATTCCCCCATCAAATTTGGCTGAATCCTTCTCAATATCTCACAAATGCTTGATGGGTTTTGATCCTCTTGATCTCCTCTTTCGTTTCCCGAAGACTCAGAACAAACCCACATCCTAACCGCTAGCTGATGTCGTGTAGTTCCTGACCCAATCTCTTCTCTCTCTAACTATAAATAGCTTGCCCTGGATCTCCACTCTATTTTCTTCTTGCAAATAAAGCGTGCATGCTAAAGTACGACGCAACCAAAAAGAGGGAACACTTCCTATAGCGAAATGGCACCCATGAGAGAGAAGAACCTTATTGACACATCTCTCCCATCCGCGTCGCTCCCAACCCAAGCGCGACTCAGATGGCGAAAATCTGACACCGTCGGCCCCTCTCTCCTCCCCCAGTTCACCTAGCCACCGTCCAAGCAGCTCGTTGGCCAAGCCAGATGGTCGCAAGGACGGCGGCTGGGCGTATTCTCCCCATAGAAAGACTCAATAGCTGCGGCACCGTGGCGATGGCGCCCAGATCGCCGTCTCCTCTGCTGGAGCTAGCGAGGAGACTAGTGGAGGAAGAGCTGGCGGCAGGGCAGAGGGGGTAGAGGCGGGGTAGAGGGAACGGAGGCAGTACGTGGAGAACTAGAAGGCAGTGGTGAAGAGCCTACACCGCGAAATCTGGTGTTCCCCTAGGCAGATCCGGTGCCCCCCATGGATCTAGAGGTGGCAACAGAGGAGTGTCAGGGTGCGGGGGAGGGACTTGCCCAGCAGCGGCAGCACCGTGTGGATCCGCTGGCACCTTGACAGGATCGGGACCCCCTCCCCCCCCCCCCACACACACACACTGGTTTCAGCAACCCTATGCCGGTCTAGCCAGGTGCGGCGGGAGGCCGCCACTCCGCCTATGAAAATCAAAATGTGAAAATTCATATTTTCAGCAACCGCCTCTAGAATTTATTTTGGTAGCTAATCTCCTAAGCGACTGTGCAGCTGCTGATTTCACCATATGTGAAACTGGTTTCCATAGTAGAGGTCCCAACATCTTTATCTGCATGTAAAATTAATCCCTACTTCAACTGCTACCTCTATTTCTTTTATATATGACACTGGCATGACTATTCTGCCTATTCAACAATCAATGCGAATATGAAAAATATAAGTCATGTATAAAATATTTTTAGTGACAGTACAAGTCACAAAAGAAAAAGGCTATAGTTATATCAGCTATTTTTGTTTCCTATTAACTATATAATTTTAAATATCTATGAGAACGGTTGAAATTCACGTGCATTCTCTGTTGTTATTTTCCTTTAATCCTTGTCACTTGTCAAGCTGATCTCCACATATCCAAACCGTAGGCCCTGCCGGTGGTCACATATATAGATGCACGGGGACTGGAATTATCTTCAATTATCCAACAAATAAAATGTCTTTGTAGCTCTGCAATGGAACAAAATGAAAGGTCACCTCCTCACATGGGGTCAATAAGCTATGCAAACTGCAGAAACCCTTGAATGCAACACTGCCACAGAGCAAAACATGAGACTCCAGGAGGTTGTACAGTACTGGATACGGATCACTCGAGTCTTCCTGTAGAATGACGATGGCATGATATCTAAAACGATACCAAAAGATGCAACCAGCATGGAAGCGTGAACTCGTGGGACGGAATTTCAACTTAGTCGAAAGATGAAGCACAGTAGCTTTCAGGCTGCATCTCCACCATCACCCTAGTCAAATGGCGCCTGCTTAGCCATCTTCCACACTTTCTGCGACAGAATCCTCTCCTGATGCCGCTCATTCGGAAGAAGGTCATGTGTTTATACGTTGCCGGATGTGTAAGAAGGAGCTAGGTGAATGTTTCTGTGCGTTAGATGAACTGTGTGCATGGTTTTGAGAATAGAATCTTACTTCCTCCGTTTTACAATGTAAGTCATTCTACCATTTCCCACATGCATATGGATGTTAATGAATCTAGATAGATATATATGTCTAGATTCATTAACATCAATATGAATGTAGAAAATGCTAGAATGACTTACATTATGAAACGGAGGGAGTATTATGTTGTGAGGATGAAATAGAGACCGAGAGCTGGATCGAGAGGTGTATATATACCATGTAGTTCATATGTATAGTGCAAGCTTGGGTCGGTCTTCACCCTGCATATATATATTTTTTTCTTTCCACAATGGAAATTAATCCATACTGTTTGTGTGTGTCAGGCACATCTTGCACCATAATGGAAGAATGCAACTTAACTAGCAGTGGATGCTATTACTGCCTACTGGTTGTTCCTCTGTTCACAGTGTTTCCTATTTCAAACTTCCAAATATATAGGAAAACGTAACAAACATTTTGAACAGCAACAAAAATATTATAAAAGTATATTTAATGGTGGATACAATGAAGTTAATTTGGTGTTATAGATGTAGCTATGTTATTCATAAACTTGGTCAAGGTTGACGTAATTTAATTTTGGAGAAAATCAAAACACCTTAAATTCTATAAACTTGGTCCAGCTACTTCACTGAACTGAATTATTGTTGAGCATTATTTGCTCCACGCCTGTAAATGTATGTTTCCCAAAAGAAATTCTTCTACTGACTTGCTCCACTTGTTAAGCTACTGAAGTGGCAATATTCGTTCTAAGTGGCAAAAAAAAAATCTGTTTTTTTGGCTATCCTCATTCCTTTGCTAGCCATGCCCGCTGCAAAATGACAGAAATAAATACATTTCACAATATCCCCACATCCCCATTCATATACAATCATTCACATACACATATGCCATTCACATATTTCACACATCCATTCACATACAAATCCATTATTCACATATTTCACACATCCATTGGAATACACATCCATTATTCACATATTTCACGATAACATGTTCAAGTGCTAAGCAACAAAATCTGCAAAAACCGAGTTGTAAATTGGAACAAATTTTTAACCGGCGAAGTAGGAGGTCGAGGAAGCGGGCGAGCTCAGGGAAGGTGGTTGGTGGTGGGCGTGCTCAGGGATGGCGGGCAGCGTGGCGACGGGCTCGGGGACGGCGGGGGACGGCGTGGAGGAGGTCAGTGGAGGACACCGGCCAGCTTGGGGACAGCACGGAGGAGGTCAGTGGAGGACGGCGGCAGATGGCGTGGAGGTCAGTGGAGGACGGCGGCAGATGGCGTGGAGGAGGTCGACGGCGGCCGATACGGGCTCGCGGACGGCGTCGGGCTCCCAGACGACGGCGGCGGCACGAGGGCTCGGGGACGGCAGCCGACGGCGGCAGCGCTAGGACGTGCATTTAGAAAAACAATTTGATCTAGATCTGAGCGAGAGTGAACCCTAGTCAAAGCATTATCTCAATCGGGCAATTTATACTGTGCAATAAATATCTATAACGGCCTAATAGTTATCTCAATCGGGCCTCAAGTTGGAGCCCGTCATGGATGACATTCATCAGTGACGGGCCTAATAGTTATCTCAATCGAGTCTAAGTTGGAGCCTGCCATGGATGACATTCATCGGTGACGGGCCTAATAGTTATCTCAATCGGGCCTCAAGTTGGAGCCCGTCACGGATGATGGACATCGGTGACGGGCTTCTATTAGGGCGCGACAAAAATATTTTCGGTTATCTTTGTTGGGCCTCAAGATGGGGCCCATCACCGATAGGTGTAATCCGTGACGGGCTCAATTTTTATGCACATCTAACATGTTTGTGCGAGTATATCATTGTCGACCTTGTTTTGAGCCCGTTTGAGATGACTTCGTTGTGACGGTCCTCAAAAATCCAGGCATGTGAGGGGCCGTCACAGATGAGAGGATCTGTACTAGTGACATCCGTCACCTATGACTCTTTTATCGGATGTTAAGTTACCACCTATCATGGATGAGTCATCGTGATGGTTCGTGACTTTTCTTTGTCGGGTGGTAAGTTACCACCCATCACAGGTATGGGTCATCCGTGACGGCTCATTTGTAGATGAGAATTTATGATTTTGAATAAATTTTAAGTTGAAAAAACTCTAAAAATATTCTTAATATTACTAAGACATTCCAACCATGGTCACACTTTACTAGCCTAAAATTCATGATTTCTCAAGTGATATTTGAATGCAGAGCCATAGTTGGGTTTTAACACAAATTTGAAACAATAGATGACTTCAAATGTTAACGCTTCCAACTAGAATGTTGCAGATCTCATCGAGTAATACAACTTTAGTGTAGGGGTTGTCTCCATCCAAGGTCGTTTGTAGCATTGAAAAAATATTTTAGAAATTGATCACATCACTTATAATGTATATTCAGAGATGTAAATAATCTGAAATGAAAATATTGTTAATTAGAAACTTATATCTCTTATTGAACCTTTTGACTTTGATATAGGGCACGTGTCCATCCAAAATCTTTTAAAAAATTAAAATTACATTTTCAAAATAGATCACACAACTTATGATGCTTATCCGGGCATGCAAACTATCTCAAACTTAAATATTATCAATTTTAAAATAATAGATCTAGTAGATCTACAACTTTTATGTAGGGTATATCTCTATCAGGGGTTATTTGAAAAATTCAAAAATTTGAATTCTCCCTCATTTGTGACGGGTGATTATCCCTGAAATGTTGTAGCTTAGTTACGACCCGTCCCAGCTGACATGTATGTTACCTGTTACGGGGTATGGCTGTGACCTATTATAGATCATCCGTGACGTGTTGCATCTACGATAAAAAAAAGACTTCGTATCAGTGACGGGTTATAATCAATAGTCATATCTTAAACGGGATATTTTTTGACCTGCTAGAGATGAGTCACATTAGTCCGAGACGGATGGCTCGTTAAAATTCATTTGTACAGGTATGCCCGGATCTATACCATACTAGTGACTTCATCTGCCACCATGGAAACCACTCAACATTCAGCTCGCTCAAATATCAGGTACCAATAATGGTAGGATTCAGGTTCCAACGTGCATACTTGTCGCAGGTTGCCTTGCCATTTTGCAATTTCCATGACACGAGACAAACAAGCTTGGAGGTGAAACGTGTGCATTAGTGTATATAATATACACTGTTGTACATTCTGAAGGTAGTTATAGGTGCATGAAAAAGAACAAAAGAATCTGATCACGAATGTACTCACATATATGGAGCATATATATGGAGTATATTATAGAGGTAGGTGATGCGATGAAGTCGACATGTACACGTAGCATAGATACATTATTGGGAAGTACTCCCTCCGTCCAAAAAAAAGACAAACCTGGTTTCCGTGCCCAACGTTTGACCGTCCGTCTTATTTGAAAAAATTATGAAAAAAATTAAAAAGACAAGTCACGCACAAAGTATTAATTAATCATGTTTTATTATCTAACAACAATAAAAATACGAATTATAAAAAAATTTCATATAAGACGGGTAATCAAAGTTGGACACGGAAACCAAATGTTTTCTTTTTTTTGGACGGAGGGAGTAAAAATTAATGATAGCTAGGGTTTGGATGAGGTGGAATACTAGCTAGTACTACTGCGCTTACATTTCTGTACAGTTTTTAAACGCCGGTAATTAATTTACACATACGTGGTCATGGGAGTAGATATTTCTGTACAGTTTTTAAACGCCGGTAATTAATTTACACATACGTGGTCATGGGAGTAGATATATCTTTCCGATTATCCTTCCAAAGCTCGTTCGCGCGCCCCTGGCCCCACTACATCTCCCAGCCACACTGTCACATATCCCCATCACGCACGACGTTACAACAAATCACTCATATATTTTAGAAATCCTCTATTAAGGAATTCATTTGATTTTTTTTTATTTGATTTTTTTTCCACCAAAAATGTTTCATATAGTGCACTCATAATGTTTCACTACGTGGCAATGGATTGAAACATTTTTTTGCAACAAATCAGCCGCATATTATGGAAACCCTCTATTAAAGGAATTCGTTTCATTTTTTTTTCCACCAAAAATGTTTCAGCTAGTGTACTCGTGATGTTTCACTATGTATGGATCAAACGTTGCAGTGAACTGAAACATTCTTTCGCTATTTGTTGAAACATTGTTTTATATAAGTTGAAACAGCATCCGATTTAAAGGATTGAAACAATTTCGATCTACTTAGTGAAACAATTCCAATATACTTGGTGGAAGAGCGTGCAACATTTAAAAATAATTCAATAATAAGCTAAAAATATTTTTCATCGGAATATATCCATGTGTGTCTTGTTTTAAAGATTTAAGTGCAACGAATTTAATGGAGCAATCGGATCATGATTTGGATAAATAATTTAAGAGAAAAATAGTTTGATGTAGTCTTGCATGCATGACGTGGGCATGACGATGGTGCCCAATTTTTTTTCTCCCGGATTGGGCGCCATACGTGTAGTCACGTTAAACTTTGTAGCGCTATGAGAAACCTTTCCTAATTAAAATATCCAAATTAATAGGTCTGGAATGGAGTGTGCTTATCATTAGCTTGACAAAAAAACAATGGCCGATCAATCCGGTCTTATCAAGAGTAGAAACTAGCGTGAGCTATTTGTCGAATAGCTATAGTTTTCATGGCTCTTGCTCAACTGACAAAGGAAACACAGTTTTCTCTTGGAAGGATGAGTGGAAGGCCAGTAATCATATACCGATGAACAACTCATTATATTACTGATGATATTTGAAAGTATTTTAATTTCTGATTATTCGAAACTGGACGAACGTGAATAATGGAAAGAGAATGTTTTTTACTTACTCTGTACATAGTAAGCTTATAACTTTTTCGGTCTATTCGTTTTAACAGCCTTAAAGATAGTGGGATCTATTAAGCCACCGTGAACTTGGAATGATACCTTGTGTTCCTCGTCATCGGATCTTTGTCCCCGATCGAAACAAGGAGATCGGGAAGACAGGAGGACAGGGTAGCGCCGTCGCGCTGGGGGAGGACGAGGGAGTGCCGCCTCCGCCAATGTTAGTTCCGAAGGATTGTAAAGGGCATTTCCCACTCCAAAAGCTAGCCAATGATGTGAGGAGCTCCCCTACTTCTATATTAGCTCTCTTACCCTTCCACAATTAATGTGGCGCACTATTTAACAAATTTCTACTAAAATCAAAGTGATATCGTCATCGGCCATGCATAGTTTGGAATTCACTGAGGTAATAACATCGAGCTATGCGATGAATTTATTGGAATCCATGAGGTTAGTTGACCAGGCAATAGGGGTGAAAACGGTACGGAAACTTTCCGAATTCCGGACCTATTTTCGAAAACAGAATCCGTCGGTCGGAATTTTTCGAAAACGGAAACGAATTCGGAAATATTTTCTCGGAAATGGAATCAGAAATGATAAGGGCAGTTTCCGTCGGAACTCGGAATCGGTCGGAAACTTTCCGGAAATTTTCTCGGAATTTCCGGAAATTTTGTGACTGAAATACCCTGGATTCTTTTTTTAAGCACTAAATAGTGAATACTATGGTGTTTGGCTGTTTTTTTTTAAAAAAATATTTGTTATGCAAATCTAAAATTACATAAGAATATCTTTTTGTCCTACATTGGGATTTATCAACAACATTACTCTTTTAAACATAGATAATTTATTTAATTGGATTTATCAGTTTGAGGGGTTTTTTGTTCCGATAAATTTTCGTTACCGTATTCGCGCCGGTTCATTTGCGCTCCGTTTTCGGTTTCGATAATATTCGATTCCGTTTTCGTATTCGGGGTTTCCGATTCCGATTCCGATTCCAAAAAAAAATATGAAAACGAAAACAATAAAGATGGTTTTCGTCTGTTTCCGTACCGTTTTCACCCCTACCAGACAAAGTATGACGTCGCCCATTAATGGCACCAAGCTAATCCTGAAACTACGACAGAAAGGTAACGTTGACTTGCCTAAACCTCATTGAGTACTAGGCGAGTGCAGTTTATCAAGCAAAACATGGACAAAACAGTCCTTAGACTCTACTTATAGCCATGTCAAGCAAAACATGCAGACAATATTTGTATGGGACAATCAAAACAAGCAAGATGGAAGAATGAATTGATGAGGACCTAAGTCTCCTCCAACTCAACATACAGAAACTGCAAAGAGAATACTGTATGTCCAGCCTTGATGAGCACTCCTATATATCCAAGGACACTTGATTAGCCATCAATTATGAGACCAACGTCTGTTTGAATTCCTGATACCACTTATTCCCAACAAATTCATATAGGAATTAACAGGACATTCGTAGTGAAAGTGTTTCTATGTCTTAGTGGAGAGTCCAGTTGAATGTGCATGTTTGGCGATGGCAAAGAGAGTACCTTATGTTCTGAACATAAAAAGGAACAGAAATGTATGATCTGTAATATGCAGTAGTGCAGCATACTAGGTATTAAAACCTGGCTTCACTCGTCACTAAGTTAATTAATCAATTAACTGAGTTATTATGTGAACTCTGGTGCATGTCAGGTACACTAATTAAGCAATCATTCTTTACCTATGTGAACTAGCTAGGAAATGAATACTTGAGCAATAGTTAGATGCAAGCTGTCTAAGGAGTAAGGAACTATTGTGTAGTGACTTGTGTAGCATGAAATACTTTATTTCCTGTTGGAAATATTCTGGGCGTAGAAGCTAGGTTCCATATACTTCCACGGTCTAGAAACGTTCAACATGGAAAAGCTATATTGGGTTCTAATACACATGGACTCATAGAATTTTTTGCTGTAGTATGTCATGAATGAAAGCATAGCTTTATATTTTAATAATATAGAATGCAAAAAAAAAAAAAAAGTCATGTTCCCCAGGCAAGACTGAACAAACCATACAGCATACATGGTGATGGACTGATGGGGATATTATGAAAAAACAGTCAAACCCGGATAATTGAATTCGAATTGTTTTTGAGATATGTGGCGATCTTTTGGTGGATTTGGTGTGACACGTACATCGTTAACCCGTGCATTGTACAGGCTATGCTGTAGCATCGAATCACAAGAACTAAGCCAACCAGAGGGAGGGTGAATGGTTGGTATACCCAAAAACTGAAAACTTTTAGCAGAAATAAAAGTTACCCTCGAAATCGACGGAGATCGGTCTGACTGAAGTTGCTCTGCCAGTCTGACCGCTCGGATGCCGTCGGTCTGACCGTCGCAATGCCGGCGGTCAGCGCAATGCCGCCGGTCTGACCGCCGCAATGCCCCCGGTCTAACCGCCGGTATGTCGCCGGTTGGACCGCCGAAACCCGGTGAAACACAAATAGAAGAACTCTTAAAGTAGATGACGACTTTATTACTTCTCTTTGTGTTTACAAAGTGCACCAACAGCACTCCTTACAAAAATTTCGACTAAACTCGAAACCCTAACTCAAAACTCAACTCTATTGCTCTCTAAAGCGATACCGGGAAGCCTCACGCTCCCCCTCAATTTATACATGAGGTAGGCAGCCTAAAGCCACGAACCAAACTCATACTAGGAGTCCTAAACACCTTAGGAAACCCACTAGTACAAGAAAGAAACTTTACATAACCAAATGTACCAAATTTGAACTCCTTCCAAATTCGACTCCGCATCCTATACGCACACAATTCCTCCATCGTATGCCATATGGAATCTCCATCAACCACGTGCATCAACTCTAGCCTAAGTATCCCGCATGATCTTTGACCACAACGGACGTCGTCTTATCCCCAAGCCGACTCCCGGTCCATCACCGCAAATACTCTCCCGAGACATCGAGTCACCTACACACGGAACAAACAAAGAAACCATATTCCGAGACCAAGCTATCTCCAACTTGACTCATTAGCAGCAAATAATAGTATTACATACGTATAGTATCCATCTAGAAGTCATAATTATGAAATAAACTCGGATATCCAAATAAACAACCCGAAACCGAAACCGACACAGTGTTGGCCGATCAGACCACGGGCTGCGCCGGTCTGACCGAGCATTACACGACGGTCTGACCGGCTACCAGAGCCCGGTCTGACCGGTCACATGAAATAACAAATCCTGCGATTCACCTGTAAATCCAATCATCTCCAAAACCACTTCGTGAATAGATAACAAATAACAAAACCAATAATCTCCAATGCCCAATTGTTCATCATAGAATAATAATCAAAAACACCTTTGATTCTACAATCTCCCCCTTGATGAACACATTGGCAAATTCATA